CCCCCGGCCGGAGCGGGGTCCCCGCGCTGTCACCAGCCCCTCGTCCCCGCGAGGTTTGTCCCCCTCGCTCCGAGGTTTGTCCCCTCGCTCCGGCCCCGCTCCCGCTGTCCCCGAGGGGGTGTCTCCGAGGGGGTGTCCCCGGGCAGGCTGAGCCCCCCCCGTCCCCTCCCAGCTCCCCGCACCCCCCTCCCCCCGGCTTTTTACAGGAGGACCCGCGTGCCCAGGGGACGAGGTGACGTGACGATGTAGCCTTTACTCTAGAAATAGTCTTCCTTCAATAAAGAGATGAGAAACGCTCCCGCGTCCCCCCGGAGCCGCCCCCGCCCGGGGCGCGGGGCCGCCGGGGGAGGGGGGGGCCGGAAAGGGGGGCTCGGAGGGGCGGGGGGTGCTCGTGTGTGCTGATGTGTGCTCGTGTGTGCTGATGTGTGCTCGTGTGTGCTGGTGTGTGCTGGTGTGTGCTCGTGTGTGCTGGTGTGTGCTGGTGTGTGCTCGTGTGTGCTGGTGTGTGCTGGTGTGTTCTGGTGTGCGCTCGTGTGCGCTCGTGTGCGCGCGCGGGGCTCCGCGCACGTGCCCGCGCACACACGCACACGTGCCCCGGGCACACACGCGTGTCCGCGGCCCCCGCCCCCCCCTACCCCCCCTCACCCCGTGGTGCCCCCCGCCCCTCGCTGCCCGTGGGGAGGGGGTGGGAGCGTGGCGCGTGCGTCATCACGCCTGTTGCCATGGAAACCATCTGCTCCCCGGGCGCGGGAGCCGCGTGGGCACGAGCGGGGAAGGGAGGGGGGAGCGGGGGGGGGGGACGGGGCCGAGAGGGCCTCGCCAAGGGCACGGTGATGGCAGCGACCCGTGGGGATGGTCAGGGATGTGTGGGGATGGCAGGGATGGCAGGATCCATGGGGATGGTCAGGGATGTGTGGGGATGGCAGGATCCATGGGGATGGCAGGGATCCATGGGGATGGCAGGATCCATGGGGATGGCAGGATCCATGGGGATGGCCACAGTCAGGACCCTGGGACAGTCACGGCTCCATGGGGAGGTCGGTCACAGATCCGTGGGGCTGTCACGGATCTGTAGGGGCGGCACAGACCCGTGGGGATGGTCAGGGCTCTGTGAGGGTGTTGTGGATCCCTGGGGGTGGCATGGATCCGTGGGGATGTCAGGGATCTGTGGGGATGTCAGGGATCCGTGGGGATGTCAGAGATCCATGGGGACAGGCTCAGCTCTGTGGGGATGGCTGTGACTCCGTGTTGACAGCCACAGGCTGGTCCCTGGGGACAGTCCCAGCTCCGTGGGGATGGTTGTGGCTCCGTGGGGATCATCACAGCTCAGTGGGGACAGTCTCACCTCTGTGGGATGGTCACAGGTATGTGGGGATGGCCACCAGCAGCTCCCTGGGGACACCCCAGCTCTGAGGATGGTCCCTACAGCACCCCCATCCCCCAGCCTGAGCCCCCCAAAGAGCAGGGCCGGGCTGGAGGATCCTCGCAGGGCGCCCGGAGCCTCCCCAGGGCCCAGGCTTTAAACAAGCTGCTCCTGAGCGTTAATTAGCGGGATGAGCAGCAGGATGAGCGGCGGGATGAGCCGTGGGATGAGCCGTGGTGCCGCCCGTTCCCGCCGCTCCCCCCCACCGTGAGGAGCCGTCGCTTCATCCCGTGGTCATAAAATGCCCAAATCCAGTTTTTGGGACCCCAAAGCAGCTCCCAGCCCTGTGCCTCGAGCCAGCCACGGTGCCTGCGTGGGGCATTGTCCCTCGTGTCCACCCCCAAGGGATACCTCGGCCCTGGCCCTGCTCAAGGGTTCCCCTGTGCCCAGTGCTGCCCATCTGCAGCCAAAGCGGATCAGGACACGGCGGGCCGGGACATATGGGAGCAAACTGGATTAAGGGGAAAATCAGCCTTCTCCCCACTAACAGGATTATTGGGTTTTCAGCCCAATTTCAGCTCAGCCGCCACAGGTGGCAGCAGGGCCGTGTCCCCCCCGTGCTGGGGACAACCCAGACTGGGCGATTCTCCCCCTCAGTTCCTGCTGGGGTTGCAGCTGTGACTGGGGCAGACTGGTGTGGCCCTGCTGTGGGCTGGGATGAGCTGGGAAGCTGCCGGGGAGCGGTGGCTGCAGCCCCTCCTGCCCCAGGGCCGGGGCTGTGTCCTCCCACGGGGACTCCCGGGGGCACCCCGGGCCCCCCTCACCCCACCGGGACCAGGCACCACCTGGTGCTTGTGGCAGCCGAGGGGGGAATCAAAGCCTCGATTCAGGGCGTCATTTCCCGCTCCCCCCGCGTGACTCCCGCCCGCTGCTGATTCATCCCCCTGGATTTCCCCCCTCCCTGTCCACACGGAGAGCGGCTCCCCAGGGTGGAGGAGGCCGAGGCTGCAGCCCCCTGACATGCAGGGCTGGCCTGGGCAGAGCGCTGGGGGCACTGGTGGGGACACAGCACGGGGGGCTCGCAGGAGCCTGGCCAGGCTGCACCAAAGGCCCAGAAAGCAGGGGGCACAGACCAGGGGATGCCGGGGGAACCTGGAGGGTTCTGGGGGGAGAACACAGGCCGGGAGGTCCCGAGAGGCCTGAGGGGACCCAGAGTGTGGGGGACACAGACCGGGGTATCTCAGTGGGGTCTGAGGGGACACGGGAGGACAGGGGGGACCCAGGAGGGGACACAGCCCGGGGGATCCCGGGGGTCCCGGGGCGAGCCCGTCCCGAAGCCTTCGCGCCCCGGACGCCACGTGCCCCCTCCCACCATTAATATTAATGATCTATTTACATACACACGCCCCTTTCTCCGCCCCGCCCCCTGATTGGCCGCTCCGCCCCGCCGCTCCCCCTCCCGGCCCCGCCCCCTGCCCGCCCCTCCCTCCGCGCCACCGCCGCAACCGAACTTGGCGGCCGCTCCTGGCCCCGCCCCCGCCTCCGGCCCCGCCCCCCGCTCCCCTGGCTGCGCGGGCTCCCATTGGCGGGCCGCGCTGTCCGTCAGGCGCGGGGGGCGGGGCCGGCGCCGCCCGGGGCCAGCAGGGTGCGTTGCGCCGCGCGGGGTCTGAGGCGGCGGCTCCGCTCCGGTCCCGCTGCCGCTCCCGGCGCCGCCGCTGCCGGTGAGGACCCGCCGGG